AGGTGTCTGGAATATTCGTTCTTGTTTCTGGCCGAACCTCGAAGTACTTCACTTCGATTAGCCTCATCTACTAAGCACCGATGCCCCCGCTGTGTCTACTTTTTTCCCTGACTCTTGTATCCGCTTCTTTCGCCAGTCGGCCTGGCAACGTCTCCTCTGCCGTGTATGTGTTCAGAGTATCCTCAAAGTGGAACACTCTGTGGGTCAGAAATGAGTGTTCCTTTAGGCTTGAATGTGCTAAACCTTACAAATTTTGGGGTTTGTGAAAAATCCTCGCCGCCTACACTCGTGTGTTTAATCCGTACAAGTAAAAAGTCTAGTTAATCGAATAGACACAATTTCCAGCCAGATATTGCCGGTTCTAGGAATTCAGGGCCATCTTGACGTTGTTTACTAAACCGGCCGAACGACGTTTCATTTAATGGATGGCCACTTCTTATGCGATCTTGGCATAACTGCTTCCTAGCCGGCACAAATGTACAAATTATTGGCTCACCTTTTTTGTCTGACCTCGTGTCCGCCAAGTAGCCACCCAATAGGCATAAATGGTTGCTATAGGCACATTCACTTTCCTCCCACCTCCCTGGTCGGCATCACTCCTCCGACATTGTCGTACTTTTCAATTCGTCTGTCCGACTGCTGCATGGTGTCCATTTCTCGACAGACTCGGCTGCGATACGTTTTCAGCCTGCCGGAAACTTCCCTTAGGGCTCAGATGCGATGGTCCACATTGATTGCGACTCAACGTTGTTGTGTGCACATGCGCGTCTGGGTAGTCGACGAACATGCGATTCACGGTTGTTTTAATCACTTCGTAATCATTAGGCTGGTAGTCACGATTTTTTTCTTTTATGGGGTAATGGCATTGGTATATGTCCTCCCTGCTGGGTTACCCGATCCGAGGGAGTTCGCCTGGACAAAAGTGTCTTCATGACTCTGTATTTGACCAGACAAAATGGGGCTATACACTTAAATCAGTCAGCAAATATTTGCAGTGTTGCTATACTTATCTGTTCATGTGAACATGTGTATGTGTGTTGGAAATGAAAAATTTAGCACATATTCCTATTTCACGCAATACACGTCTGAATTAGACTCTTCTGGAGCACTGATCAGTCCCCGAGGAAGGATGGGAACCTCTTTACTTCTCGCGTTTCTCATTCTTTTGCCACTCCTTCTGAAATTAACTTTGTCTTGTCTTGTTGGCATAAGTTAGGCTAGTATTGATCTGAGCAAAGTCATGACAACCCCGACTTGGTTTAATATAGAATTCACTTGCTTGCTTACTCTGAGCTTCCGCTGAAATTTGACCAGTTTCAGGCCTTCCATACTCTTTGGAAAGGCAGATTTTTCCGACAGTTTTGAATGGGATTTTATGCACTTAAACAAGTCAGCGGATACTACTTACATAAGTAATTTTCCCAAAAATTACAAATAATGTGATGTTTCTGCGTCAAGTCATTGGAAAAAGGCAAAAACATCAGTCAACTTTATCTGCAGCTCCTATGTTGCTGCTATGAATAACTCAAAATTTTATTCGATGTTCCTGGCCTTTTTCATACCAAATGCTTGAAAAGGCCAATCTAGTTGGACCTTAGAGATGGTCTCGTAAAGCTAATTCATTGGGGTCTTCTAACCAAGCACCTCTTCACCAACTAGGCAATATCCATAATTGTGTAAACCAGGTTCAAAGTAAGATCACATCTGTAAATAGAGGATATCTCTCAATCTAGAAAAGTACTCTTAAATCGACTTTCAAGGAGAGACAAAAAATGGGCTATATATATTTTCATAATACACAAGGAGCAAATGCCTTGTTAACACTTATTGCCAGTCCCAATGGAAAAACAGCATGCAAACATGCCAGCCAATATGTTCTCAAATTAGTGAATTTTGTCCATATTTGTCCTTTACTTTTTAAAACGATACTAGTTCCACCCGTTTGATACAGACCACGTATTCTATCGCCTTTTTACAAGCATACAAAGGCAATGTACAATTATAATGTTTAATAATAGGTGATTTAATAAAATCATTATACTTTTAATTGTCACAATATCATAATATAAATGCATAATATATAATATTAGTATACATTATCACAACAATATAGAAAACGCCTTAAATAGATCTCCAAGCTACGCTAGCAGATGTAATAAAATTATTTCATTTTATTTAGTAAAAAAGATTAGCATTATATATATATATATATATATTTATATTTATATATTTAAAGCGAACATTTAATAAAATATTATAAAAAATATTATCTATATATGATGTATATTATAATATACTAGTATTTCACACCGGTCCAGATGTTCCGCAAAGGTGGGATGTGGAGGCCTCTGACAAATTACCTATGAATGCCCATTCGAACCTGAACTTACCGAGTCTATGATTGTCTCAAAACGCTGAAAACAAAATGTTTATCATTTTTCGTATAAGTAGAGTTTTTAGACTACCATTAACTCAGTTATTTGAGATGTATTCACCCTATTTCGTTTAAGGCGATGAAGGACTGGTAGAAGAATTTTCCCACAATGATATGTGTAGAGCTGACGTTTCGATTAAATTTCACATAGCCTTGTTTCCCAAAAGTTGTTCTCACCCAGGGTGGACTGCAGTTTCGACTTCGTATAGATCTTATCAACAACCCTAGCTACAGTCGAACCGTGACAGTGAAACATATAAGCTTGACACGTTAACTCCTCCGCCACATTGCCACAAGCTCCTTTGGGTAACAGGGCAGATGTGAATTTCAAGGAAGGTCAGATCTTTTCCCATATCACACTCTGTGGTGGGATTGTCGATGTAGCAAACGTATTTTTGTTATAACAATAGACTACATTACTTATTTTTCTTATAAGTGTTTATCATATCGAACGGTCTGATTGTGCAACATCGGATAGATTAAACAAAAGAAAACTAATCTCCATTTCTTTATCACAATTCCTACGTTAGTTTGTGATAATATAATAAATTGTAAATGATAAACTCACTCTTCCTTATATCAAAGTCATAACAAGCAAAGGAAAATAATCACACTAGCATATAAGTATTTGCATGCATTTACATGAGAATGAACTATTGTATAGTATCTAAACATTTCGTTTTTAATTGTGAGTACATATATAATGTAAGGTAAAAAGGATTAGTATTCGTTAATGTTAACTCAGAGCTTTTGCAGGGGTGAGCTCCAGCCTAACGATGTCTCTCAGATGGCATGACTGACGAATGCTCAAACCTTATCCACTCGAACAAAGCTGATTTTCAATCCATTTACTTTTTATTTGGTTCTTATTTGTAGTCAAAGAATTTCTTCTTTTCCTACAACTTAATACCTAAAACATTAACTGCCTAAAGTTTCCCAGTGATTGTTCATCATTCTTTTTGGCTCCTGTTTTTAGTTTAAAACCAATAATTGTTTTGATATAGAGTATATTTTAACTTTATGAGTCGTCAAAGTTATTAATATGTTAAAGTAAATTACTCATAGCATATTAAAAATTTCTTAAGCTATTTACCGATTTTTATCCCAGCCTATTTTGATACCATTTACGGGTCAACTACCAAAGAATTAAAGCATTAAAAGACTGTTAATCATACCCACCTCCTCCAAGGCACTATCGTATTTTATCCAATTTTTTAACTATTTAAGTTTTGGTGCAAAGCTGTCGTCCAGCACTTAATTATAATCAGTAAACCCACAAGTAAAATCTGTTCTTTGTAAGCCTTCGGGCCGAATTTCACCTTGGAAGAAAATACTGATTTGATTCTCATCTTGCGCAAGCACATACATAAAGACTGGTCTAACTAGAATGCTTGGAAGGAATTTCCTAGTTGAATGATGGTATCATCTTCCTAAGGCCCAATCAGTTTAATTTTGCTTAAGCCAACATGTTTAGCATCCGACTAGTTTGTTACTGACGAGACAGCAGACCGGAATGAAGGCTGCAACTTGTCACGTACATTTAATCAATTGGGTCTTGCATATTTTGGGAAAATGTTCCAGTTATTCAATATTATGTCTTGCCATGATCTCACTAGAAACAAGGCCAATAGATTTATCCAATATTTATCTCTTTTTGTGAATAGCTGAATGCAGTTGGTAATTGAATATTTCAAATAATAGATTTCACCAATTAAATAGAGATTTTCAGTATAGAATACACTCATTAAGAAGATTTCAAGATAACAGAATGTGAATTCCTTTTGAGTCACTACACGAGCATGCCTGCTTATCTGGTGTGGTTACTGGACTTGAATTTTGAGTCGAGCTTTAGGAGATAATAGCGATTCTAACTAAAAATTGAAACGCACCTTCATGTGCGTATAAAAAACTTGTTCTCGTTCAGGCATTTTGGTATTCTCACTTCCACACTTTTGGCGAGGACGTTTGTACCGATGAGAAGCTTTTGCTTATACTAAGTAGAATAATTTAGTGAAGACCATTATAATTAACAATCATCTAGAGCTTGGGAATTATATTTTAAGGGCCTTAAATGGATAAACATATAATCTTTCTACTCGCCTTGCAGTTACTGATCAATTTATCCTTTTATCCATCTTTTAGCACTTTTGCACCAAGCCCTCAGAACGAAATATATAAAATCGCAGAGTAATTTTATACTCATCTCTTATAAAAGTCTCTCAATGACAGAGGTTGTTATGATTACGTTTTAAATGCTCTTGAACACCAAGCCTAAATCGACCTTTAATATTTTCACATATCCATTAAACTTATTTGATAGAGATAATTTTTGCCACCGAATGAGCAGAATATTATAGAAACATGGAATTAAAAAGCTGTATTTGCAGCAAAAAAAAGAAATTGTTTTGGGATAAGTTGATACGCAAGATGAGATCTAAAAAATACAAAATACTTTGTTAGCACTAAGCATTCCATCCTGCACGTAACATGGGATAAAGACGCCACCAATTAGTGAAGTTAATTGGTTCACTCATAAACTTCCACTCTTATACGAAGGTATGAAG